TCCTGTTCCTTTAGTCTTTTCCCAGACAGTCTGAGTGAATCAGTGCCAAAGACACAGTCTCTCTCTTGTGAAATAAATGTTCTCTTCTGCTGCTTCTTTCTTCTCCCTGGCAGCTGCTGCTTTTGCTCACCATCAGGGTCACTGACCCTGTGGGGAAAATGTTCTTGGGTGTCATCTGTTCCGTGTATAGGTAATCCTCCTGGGCCATCTCCAGGGTTAAAGGACTCCGGCCCAACATCAAGTGTGACAGATGTCCTTTCTCCAGTTTCTTCATCAAGATGGGTTTTGATGTGTAACTTGTCATAAACACATATTTTACTTTTAGGTTCTGAGGAGAAAAAAAATGTATATAACATATTTTTCTTATAAATAAAACAAAAAATACTCATTTTTATCCTATTATATATAAATACTACTAAACATTTATTTAAGAAAGAATCAATGACATTTCATTCAGGCAGATGAATTTACAGGTGAAATAAATCTATTTTTTAGGCTGTGAGTAGTAAGGTCACGGTTACCTTTAGGTTCAAGGTGTTCAGGGTGCTGACTACTTCTACTATCTGATGGAATATGCAAAGGAACTCTACATACTCCATACTGTACATATTTTTAAAAGTTCTAATTTTTAAAATTCTAACAATCTATGAAATTTTAAGTACATGTAAACAAATAGCATTGTGCTAAAAATGTTTTTTAAACAGAGTATTCTTTATCACACAATCTCTTCTCTTAACTTTTAAATCTCAACTAATTTTTTAGCCCATGTCTTTCTTTCTTTATTTTCCCCCTTGGCCCAAGTAATTTTAATAACACTCCCATTTCAATCACCCTTAATTTTATTATTATAAATTACTTGAATTTATTGACCATTGTTTTTAGAATATTTTTACCTAGAATTTTTCTCTGTTCATATATACTTAAAGTAAAAAAACAAAACTTTTGCTGGGCACGGTAGCTCATGTAAATCCCAGCACTTTGGAAGGCTGAGGCAGGCAGATCATGAGGTCAGGAGATCACGACAATCCTGGCCAACATGGTGAAACCCCGTCTCTACTAAAAATACAAAAATTAGCCAGGTGTGGTGGCACGTGCCTGTAGTCCCAGGTACTCGGAAGGCTGAGTCAGGAGAATTGCTTGAACCCGGGAGGCAGAGGCTGCAGTGAGCCGCGATTGAGCCACTGCACTCCAGCCTGGGTGACAGAGTGAGACTCTATCTCAAAATAAAAACAAAAAACAAAAAAACAAAAAAAAACCCTTTCTAATATTTAAATAATAATTTCTGAAAATTGAGAGGGAAAAAGAACAATAAACAGTCTAACTGAAAGTAGAGTCTATAGAGTAGATTTTATGGCATATGAATTTTATGTTAATTAGAATAATATTGCAGCCGGGCACAGTGGCTCACACCTGTATCCCAGCACTTTGGGAGGCCTAGGTAGACAGGTCACTTGAGGCCAGGAGTTCGAGACCAGCCTGGCCAACATGGCGAAACCCTGTCTCTACTGAAAATATAAAAACTGGCCAGGCATGGTAGTGCATGTGCCTGTAGTCTCAGCTACTCAGGAGGCTGAGGCACAAGAATTGCTTGAGCCTGGGAGGTGGAGGTTGTAGTGGGCCAAGATTATGCCACTACATTCCAGCCTGGGTGACAGAGTGAGACTCTGTCTCAAAAACATAAAATTAAATTAAAATTAAAGTGTCTATTGCTAGTCACTATCTTCACTCTGTGGGAAAAAGAACAATAGCCAAAATATACCTGGGAAATGAATAATAAAGCAGGCATAAGGGAATGGTCTAGATTTACCTGAGTGGTTTAGCTGCAGTGAGAGCTCCTGCTGGGACAAATAATCTTGTTCTTCTACTGTTTTCTTAATAGAATGCTTAATCTTTTCAGCTCTTTGGGCACGCTAGAGGAAACAAAAACAGCTCCAGAAATACGTTTTCTTTAAAGCTTTATATAAAGAGTCAAGAACAGTTTTTAAATTGTTTGTACTGTAACACCTTAATTTGAGAACATGATTCACTTACCTGAAGGCGGGCTAGTGTCTTGCTGTATTCCCTTTTCAAGAATGCTAATTTCTCCTTTAACTGAAAGAAGAAAAACACCAACAATACTGGGCAAGCAGAAAGGTGAAGTCACAGGGAAGGGATGCAGTGCTTGGTGGGGTCCCCTGGCAAGAGGCAGGGAGTAGCACTGGTCCATGACAATCTACTTGTGGTTCTCAAAAAGCACCAAGCTCTTGACCATTTCAGGATCTTTGTATAACCTGTTCCTATCATCTGGAACATTTCCTTCCTTTGCCAATTCCTACTGACTCCTCAAGCCTTAGCTTAGATTTTCATTTCCCTGGGATAGACTTCTAGGTCCTTCTCCAAATCTAGGTTAGACACTCTATCAGTCCTCTCTACTTTCCTTACCACAGTATTCTCACACTGTGTTCTCTGTTTCTCCCCATCATCCAGTTCCTTGAAGGTAGCAGGGACTGTCATCCTCAGTCACTCAACAAATGAATCTTCTATTTATCAGTTAATGGTCCAGGTATCTCTAGTACCTGGAATAATAAGTGATACCCACTGTGTGTCAATTAGTGCTCCAGATGCTATTCTAGATGCAATTTACATACAGTGAGGGATACACATAATAAATAAGAAAACAGGGAAGATGATTTTACAAGGTAATAAATAACTAGACAGATAAACAGAGTGATATAAGAGAGTTACTGGCCTACTGATAGGGACTACTTTAGTTGCAGTGGTCAGGGAGGCATTTTTGAGGACTATCATTTGAGCCTAAGACCAAATGAGGAAGGAGCTAGTTTTGGGAAGATCAGAGGGAATGGTACCCCAGGCAGAGGGAACCACAAATATAAAAGCTCTGCAGTGGAATAGGCTACATATGTTTGAGGAACACGCAGGCCAGTGAGGTTGGAGCTATCACTGCTGAATCTCCAGCCAGGCAGACAGTAGGCATTTAACAAATATTTATTAAATGAATAAGTGAATTGGGCTGAATCAAATTACTGTTCTCTGAAAGTCTAGATTCCCTTGTCTCTCTGGCTTCTTTGGTTCAAAGGATTATCTCAGCAGCAAAGCCAGCCCTGGTTTTTCTGCTTTTTAGGAACTTTTTAGTTATACTCATATTTCAACCAATAAAACATCAAGATTTCCATCCTCTATACATACCTTTAAAAAAAACAAAAGACCAAAAAAAAAAAAAAAAAAAAAGACCTACTCAGCTGGAAGCGGTGGCTCACACCTGTAATCCCAACACTTTGGGAGGTCGAGATGGGTGGATCATTTGAGGTCAGGAGTTCGAGACCAGCATGGCCAACATGGTGAAACCCTGCCTCTACTAAAAATACAAAAATAAGCCAGGTGTGGTGGTGGGTACCGGTAAGAGGCTGAAGCAGGAGAATTGCTTGAACCTGGAGGCGAAGGTTGCGGTGGGCCTAGATTGTGCCACTGCACTCCAGCCTGGGCAACAGAACAAGACTCTGTCTAAAAAAAAAAAAAAAAGGCCAGGGGGGGGGGATCACGCCTGTCATGCCAGCACTTTGGGAGGCCAAGGCGGGCAGATCACCTGAGGTCAAGAGTTCGAAACCAGCCTGGCCAACATGGAGAAACCCCATCTCTACTAAAAATACAAAAATCAGCTTGGCGCGGTGTTGGGCGTCTGTAATCCCAGCTACACAGGAGACTGAGGCAGGAGAATCGCTTGAACCTGACAGGCGGAGGTTGCAGTGAGCCAAGATCGCACCACTGCACTCCAGCCTGGGCGACAGAGCAAGACTCTGTCTCAAAAAACTAAAACAAACAAACAAAAAAACAAAGTATATGTGCAAAACATGCTACTTGGAATTTTCTTTCTTTCTTTTTTTTTGAGACAGAGTCTCACTTGGTCGTCCAGCCTGGAGTGCAGCGGTGCGATCTCGGCGGCTCCCTGCAACCTAAGCGTTCCCTGGTTCAAGCGATTCTCGTGCATCAGCCTCTGAGGCCTGAGCCTCTGGGACTACAGGCTGGCGTCACCACACCCGGCTAATTTTTATATTTTTAGTAGAGACGGGGTTTCACTACGTTGCCTAGCTGGTCTCAAACTCTGAGCTCAAACGATCTGCCCATCCCAGCCTCCCAAAGTGCTGGGATTATAGGCGTGAGCCACGGAGACTGGCCTACCCACCAATCTTATAAATGTCTGGGGATAATCTTGTTTACTTATAAATGATCTTTCTCACCTCCACCAGAAGGTAAGCCAGAATAAGAATAACATCAGCACAAACTGGAAACATACTAAAAGTCTTATCAGTAAAGTACAGTCTAAAGAAGCAAGGGCACTTCCAAGGCCAGGCGCAGTGGCAGGTTCCTGCAATCCCAGCTACTCGGGAGGCTGAGGCAAGAGAGTCGCTTGATCCCGGGAGGCGGAGGTTGCAGTGAGCCGAGATCGCACCACTGCACCCCAGCATGGGTGGCAGAGTGAGACTCTGTCTCGAAAAAGAAAAATAGAAAAGGAAGAAAAAAGAAAAGAAACTTCCAAACTACAACATGCTGTCTAGAACTTAAAAAAGAAAGGTAAATAAACATGTCCTGACAGGAATGCTAAACAGGGGTATGAAAAACGGAACCTACAGAACCATTCAGATCATACCATTTACGAACACTCCCTTCTCAAAAAAATTACACATAGGACTCCTTTTTGGTGGTTAGGGATACGCCCCTCCTCCACCACACACGCTAACACACGAAAGGACCCGAAAGTACCAGACTTAAAAGATTTACTTGAGGAGGTCCGGCGGAAGAAGTGAAGATTGAGGGTGTGGGACGGGGGAGGAGCAACGGTGTCGATACAGCTTTATCTATAAAGTGTTACACATTGTATTAATGCACTGTTACTGTAATGAAATTTGTTCTTTAAACGCCACCACGTGAGCACCACGCTATTTCCACATTTTCATTTTTTGTGCCCCCTCAGCCCTAAGCGGAGGGGGAGGGGCGTCAGACGATACTGCTGCCCTCGGACTGCCGAGGACACAAAGCTAGACCTAAAACCCTGGGAAAGCGAGGTCAGAGTCCTGCATCCGCCCTTCCCGCACCCCGTGGCACCTTTTCCTTCTCCTCACAGCTGAGGGGCTTCCCGGGAGGCTCTTCCATCGGGCAGGCGACAGAACGAAAAAAGCAGCCGTCGCCGACCCCAGGCCTGCCGACACCGGGACCCAGTTGACCCTGGGCCGGGGAGGCGCCCCGAGAAAGAATGGGGAGCCCGGGATCGCACCCTCAGCGCGCGATCAGCTGACCCACGCGGGCCAGGCGCGCCCTAATCTCCGGCCAATTAAATCCAATGTTCGACCTGCGCACGCGCAGCCGGAGACGGCCGAGCAGTGGAGCGAGGCCGCCTAAAGGAGAGCCGAGCTGTCGATGAGTCCAAGTGGGCCACCTAGAGCGGAAGTGGAGGAGCGGCCGGAAGTAGCCGGAATCTCAGAAAGACTGTCCGACTGACTCTGACGAGATCTGGGACTGAGGGAAGGAGGCGGCGGCCATGGAGTTGGGCGAGCTGCTCTACAACAAGTCCGAGTACATCGAGACGGTGCGCGGGTCCAGATATCTGTCCTCCTCTTTTCAAGCCTGCGTCCCTTTGAGGCCTGGTCGGAGTTCCCAATCTGCCCCTACCCCACCCACCCCTGTCCCTTTGGCCGTTAGTCCCGGATTATCTAGCGACGCCCCGTGTACAGTCTGGCTTTGCTGTTTACTCCGCGCATGGCCAGTTTAGGCCTTTTGTATTTATTCCTGATTTTCTCATAGGGATAAAGTGCCTTCAGGAGAATAAGACAAGTCCCATCCTGTTCATATGAATTACAGCTTGAACTTCGGGCCCTTTTACGTTGCCTTTTGTAATGTGGTAACTTGCGCCGAAAACGATTCGGTTCTTTTTTGGGGGGGGGAGGGGGGCGGAGACTCTCTGTCGCCCAGGCTGGAGTGCAGTGGCGCGATCTCGGCTCACTGCAACCTCCGCCTCCCCGGTTCAAGCGATTTTCCTGCCTCAGCCTCCCAAATAGCTGGGATTACAGGCGCCCGCCACCACGCCCGGCTAATTTTTGTATTTTTTGGTAGAGACGGGGTCACCATGTTGTCCAGGCTGGTCCCTAACTCGACCTCAGGTAATCGACCCGCCTCGGCCTCGCAAAGTGCTGGGATTACAGGCGTGAGGCACCGCACCCTGCCGATTTGGTTCTTTATTATCAGTATACGGTATGTTTGTAAAATCTTGGAAACAGGGCAAGTGGTCAGTTAACGTTACTATTGTTATTTTGGTTTTCTTTGCATTCTGACAACTCTGATATTCATAAAGTCATTATCCTCGTTTTAAGGCCATAAAGCCCAAGTGCGGAAGTGAATGGATTTGAATCCACGTCTGTCTGATGCCACTAAGCTATAGACATTCAAATTCTGAGTTTATTCCTTGAGTCCCTAGTTTCCTTTTACTTTTTTTATTTTTTGAGACAGGGTCTCACTCTATTGCCCAGGCTGGAGTGCAGTGGTGCAATCACAGCTCATTGCAGCCTTGGCCTTCCATGCTCAAGCGATCCTCCATCCTCAGCCTTCTGAGGAGCTGGGACTACAGACACGCGCCACCATGCCTGGCTAATTTTAAAAAAATTTTTTTTAGAGAAGGGGGGGGTCTCACTATGTTGCCCAGGCTGGTCTTGAACTCCTGGCCTCAAGGGATCCGTCTGCCTCAGCCTCTCAAAGTGCTGAGATTACAGGCGTGAGCCACCACACTCAGCCATAGTTTCCTAATCCATCATTGCTTTTTTGACATCCTGGACTCACTCCATTGTGGACAGCACCCCACTTTATGTTTTTTTCTCTCAAATGTGAGCTTTCTTGACGGAAACCTGTAGTCCAGAAACCTATTAAGTTTGCTGTCCCCGGTTTTCTGTTGTTTTCATTTAGGCATCTGGGAACAAAGTCAGTCGCCAGTCAGTGTTGTGTGGAAGCCAGAACATCGTTCTCAACGGCAAGGTAAGGGACAAAGCCAGCTCCAGGCTGCAAACCTTAGCTTGCTTTCTGCTAATTATCACCACAGCAGGGCAGATAAAATGTTGCCATATCACCCATTTATTGTTGTACATTTTTAATTCTCTTGTTTTTAAATTTTTTATTCTCTAAGTTGGATGTTGGATCTCCTTTTTTTTTTTGAGACAGTCTCACCCTGTCACCCAGGCTGGAGTGCAGTGGCCCCATCTCAGGTCACTGCAACCTCCGCCTCTCAGGTTCAACCAGTTCTCCTGCCTCAGCCTCCCGAGTAGCTGGGATTACAGGCGCCTGCCACCAAGCCTGGCTAATATTTTGTATTTTTAGTAGAGACAGGGTTTCACCATGTTGTCCAGGCTGGTCTCGAACTCCTGCCCTCAAGTGATCCACCCATCTCCGCCTCCCAAAGTGCTGGGATTATAGGCGTGAGCCACTGCGCCCGGCCTAAGTTGGATCTCTTGAATGCAAAAAGGTTCAATAAGAGGCAACAGAAAACCTTTTTTCTTTTATGCCAGGAACAAAATACAGTGGTACCTAGAACCAACATTATTTTATGATATTATAGTGTGCATTAAACTACTAGGCACAAAGTGTAATAGGTAATGAAGTATTTGAAGGTAGAAACTAAAGTAATACTTATAAAATTATCTCTTTAGTAAAAATTAATAATTCACTATTAACTGAAACTCTTAAAATGAATGTGACAATTGGAAAAGATATTAAAGTATGAGACAAATATGCAAAGTGGAATCTGAAAGACTGAGAATCTTGTAATCCAAATAAATTACAATAGCAAAGAGACGAGTATAAACTTGGAAGAGAAAATATCACAAGGTATATTTGAGCTTGACAAACAGTGAAGTTCATAGTTGTTTTCCTGCCATCTGGAACACTCAATTTTGAAATTACTTTTTCTGTAAATATTACATCTCTAACTTCCAGAAGGAAAATAGTCTCATTATAACCAAGAAATCACAAATACTTTCAGAAGACAATTAGTCTCCATTAAGCCTGTCATACCAAGGAATTAAGTGGAAAAGAAATATAATTTGGTTATTGCTGCTCAGACATACTGTTTCTTTTTGTTTGTTTGTTTGGTTCTTTTTTTTTGAGGCAGAGTCTTGCTCTGTCACCCAGGTCAGAGTACAGTGGCGGGATCTTGGCTCACTGCAACCTCCACCTCCTGGCGGCAAGTGATTCTCCTGCCTTAGCCTCCTGAGTAGCTGGGATTACAGGCTCCTGCCATCACACCCACCGAATTTTTGTATTTTTGTTTTTTGAGACAGAGTCTCGCTCTGTCGCCCAGGCTGGAGTGCAGTGGTGTGATCTCGGCTCACTACAAGCTCCGCCTCCCAGGTTCACGTCATTCTCCTGCCTTAGCCTCCTGAGTAGCTAGGACTACAGGCACCTGCCACCATGCCCAGCTATTTTTTTGTATTTTTAGTAGAGATGGGGTTTCACTGTGTTAGCCAGGATGGTCTCAATCTCCTGACCTTGTGATCTGCCCATCTTGGCCTCCCAAAGTGCTGGGATTA